ATTTTGAGCTTAGTAAGAGGCTGTGTTAACTCCCAATGAATATTCAGGTGGTTAGCACTAGATATCAAAAATAGTTAAGTCCTAGAATAGATATATTAAAAGAGACAATTAACCAGTTAGAATTGATGCCAATTATTATGTGCACCCACTGGTTATGTGACTTGGGTTGATGAATAGTTTAAATCTCTAGGTTTTGGGCTAAAAACCCACACAAAATCCTGTGCTTCTGCTTACAATCTTTCATACACACAACCCACCCCTCTTATAGTGTACTCTTCAGATGTACCCCTGAGCATGGCCAGCAAGATTCTCCCATTTATATCCCAGACTGGATGCAACAATTTGGGCATTTCTTTATTTTTGTTTTTTCTTTCTCCCCCCGAGCCTCATATATTTTATGAGGAACATTCAGAGCTGTGAAAATTTCTCCAGCTTGTTAAGTGTTTTCTGGATGAAGAATATGTTTCTGTCTATCCAGGAGATATCTGATCAATAAAGCACATTTTCGTTGTTTATGATAAACTCCTGGAAAGACTAGCATCTTTTCCAACTCTCCAAGGAATCTAGGATCTCCTGATAATAGGGAAACAAAGTGGAGGGAGATTTAAGATCTCTACTCTTCAACCCCTCCAATGGAACTCAATAGTTAACGGCTCCCCTGCCTCCAAATTTTAGGAGGCCTTTGCAAGGACATGTCCTTTTGACACAGCTTTTTATGCCTACATTTATGCAAATAAGCATCCTTAATTAGTTATGCTTCTTACAACTTACCAGTCTTCTCAATATATTGTTAAAGACTATATTAATGGTAAAATCTGAAAGTCCCTTTTGGGTGTTCCCAGTTTTAAGGGAGGTTAACCTGACAAATATTAGGTTAACGGCTCTACCTACCATAGTAGTTTTATACTAGTCTTTTAGTAGTCTAGCACCTTTGTAGGCTAGAGTGCGGCAGTGCACATTTGTGAGTCAAAGCTCATAAATGTTTGCAGTTTTCTTGAATTACCACCTCGGTACTGGCCATTTGCTGTGGCTATGCATAAGTTAGTCCAGCTCCAGAGATATTCATAATATACGAAGAAGACCTGCAGCTCCGAATCTGATAATAATCACACTAGCTTCAGTACACATAGTTATTTCCATCCTTGGGTTTTTTGTCTTATGATTGCTGAAACTGAAAAATGACTGCTTAGCAAACTCCTGAGCGTCTCCCTCTTTCTCACCTTTTGGAAAGTGAAAGTTAAGAACTTAGATCCACGGTAGTTCAAGAGTTAGACCACTGAATGAGGATTGGAACTCTTCTCCACTTGCAGGCTTTTCCATTGGCAGAAGTAAAAGTGGGCTGAAAATGAATTACAGAGTCTGATGTTTGGAGCACAAAGGGTTAGCAGGACATAGTTATTAAGAGATTTCTCTTAGGAATAAGATAAGTATGCTGGATAAATAACTCTCACTGGGCAGGCTCTGGAATCCTTATAAATGCCGTTTTCTCTAATTCGATAGCGCTCTCATTCCTGAGTTCTTGACGTATGTGTTTACCTAGCAAAAGAAAACCTTTTTGGCAACGGCTTTGCGGAGGACTGACTAGGGACTAATCTCCGAGCTTCCAGAGAAGTGCTTTTTTGGTGTAAGTTTTTGAAGTGGTGGTAATATTCTCTATCCATCTCCTTTCTTTCTCTCTCTCTCCCCCCACCCTCCTTCTTTGTCTTTTTTCCTTAAGGGTTGTAGAAAAATCTGTGCTATCTGAGAGGGTCCCTCAAAGAGCAGGGAACAAGGTCTGTGGCCTCTTTCCTGATTAAGAATTCTCCTGGGCATGAGGTCAGTGTTTTTTTTGGTGCATTGTAGATATTAAAAACAACAACAACAACAACAACAAAACCAGGCACTGCGTACTTTTCAGATGGCTTATGAAGATGAAAGGAGAGCAGTCAGAGAGGAAACTGCTTAGCATGGGCTCATTGTTAGGTAGCCAACAACCAACACAACAATAACAAAACAATCACTCTTATGTTCTAAGTAGTTACTACATATAAAAATAGGAATGATCATGTGATTATTCAATCCACTGGGGGAAAAAAAAAGTTTTCTCCATATAAGGAATGTTAAGAGCAGGGCATGTGAGCTATGCATGTCTTGGCAATTTTCTCAATGGGGGAGAAAGATACATTTAAGTATCTGTTTTTTCAGATCAGTGATTTAAGATTTGATCATCTGTTTTAATGCATGAAAACTCAAGGGTGGTTAGATAATCATATGATTTTTTTCTAAAGATGGTTTTTGCTTGCAGGCTGTGCTAATACAGTTTTATTGACTCTAGAAGGTAAACTAGAGCTGCTCCCTAGGCTTTCTTAGGCTGTAAATCTTCTGAGAGCAAAAGTGCTAGCCTTTCTCTTGTGGAGCTATAGATCGGAACTGCTGACCATTGCTGAAGTAGCTATGCCACTGCCTCCATGGCCACTGTGTTAGAAGAGTCCAAATATGTTTACCTTTGAATATAATAATTTGAAGAGAGACCACAAGGAGAATGTCGAGCAATGGAAAGAGGGACTCAAAGGATAAAATAAAGCGAATAAATAGTTTGGCACACACACACACACAGTTTGGCACGCAGGAGGTATTTAGTATATTTGTTGTTGTTATTCGAGAGAAAATCTAATGTGACCAGTAAGACCATTAATTGGGATCTCGTTTGTATGCTATAACAAAATGAACATCAAATTGAGAGCTGGCTTCCTCGTCTTTAAAAAAATATTTGATTTTAAGGTTCTTAACGGTTTTGTACTTCATGTGGATAAACAAAAACCAAGCAAGTAAACAAAAACTACAGGTCCTAATGTGAACTAAGGTCCAGTCTTGAGAAAATCTGATTAATAAGAAACCTATTATTTTCCCTATTGTTGTAAAATATGTTGATGTGGCTACATGGATTTGACTTCCAATTTGAGGGGACCTTAGAACAAGATTACTATGCGTTTATGGTCCTTCATTATTTTCTGAAGCAATACTTTGCTTTGTTCAACAACTGCTCAAATGTAATGGTATCAAGCATTGTTACCTGTTCTGGAAACACAGGTCTGCAAAAAAAAAAAAGAGATAAAATGTGTCCTTTTGAGTCTGATTAGAAGATGCTTCTTTTATCTTTTTTTTAAAATATTGCGGTTTCTCCTCAGATCTCTTTTCTATATATAGATTTATTATTTCTAGATGTTTTTAACTACTCTGTGGATCCAACCACAGCCTTTGTTTTCGCCACTTTTAGGCCTTATTCAGCGGCACCAGAGTCATTGAAACCCCTAATGGTTGCCGAGGTAGGTTTGCCTTTCAGTTCTTACGTGTGATGTCACAGATGTGAGACTTGCCTCTCAGCTGAGGTTCAAGGACTGGCTCCCAAGAATGTGGATCTGTTTGTTTTACATTGCCTCTCCATTCAAAATTGTCTGGTCTATAATATTTCAGTGAGTTCTTAAAGACGCTTCTGCATTGAATACTTTTCTCTTTCATTCTCTTCAAATAGCTACCAAAATATCCTTTTGATTCAACCTCCTGTGTCCAATTCTCAGTCAAGTCCAGGCACCAGCCTGCTGATCCGGTGGCTGGAATGAAAGCCTCCCAGCTGACTTGCACGGAAATGTATTCTTCCTCAGAGTTGTGTACAGACTTTCTTGGGGAACCAACTCTATTTTCAACTCTTTCCTTTCACACACTGGCACTCTGTAGATATTTAAATATCTTTTGAATTAAAGCAGACATAAACGAATGAATGAGGAACAAGTACACCTAGCATTCTTTCTCTAGATGAAATTATGTTTGGTGGAAGGAGTCTAAGGACAAGACCCAGTAACGATGACCTTCTTAGATTGTGTAGACTTTTTGATGTGGAGGAAAGCATGCTTATATCACCAAGTGGAAGAAAAGTATTACCCACATCATCATACATCTGTGTAGTTAAAATGAACTGTGGCAAGGGTTTCTAAGAAAACTTTCCCTAGAAAGCCACTTTTAATGCTCTTTAAAGCAACACCAAACAATAACAAATAAAACAAAAAGACCAGGAGACTTGCTTGTCCTATTATTTTCCAGTTGTGAATGATATGTAATAGGACATGTTGGCACAGTGCATAGTGGATTATATGTCAGCAGTTTGGAGCCACCAGCTGCTCCAATAGAGACAGAGGAAGTGTTCTAGTCCCCTAAGTAGTCGTAGCCTCAGAACCCCCAGGGACATTGCTACTCTGTCCTATAGGGTTGGTATGAGTCAGAATCATGGCAGCAAATTAGTTTTTTGGCTTTTAATGACTTCCTTTGTTCCTGCTGAGGTTGCCTACAGGCCACCTAATTTGGGGCAGTATTTCTCTTAAATGTACTCAGGTTCTCAGGTAGTACTTAGATAAACGAACTCTTTGGCTACTTCTTGATCCTACAGTGGGGTGGGGGCTGAGATTTAATTATTTCTTTCCTGTTATGGTTTTTCTAAAAGTGGTTCTGTAGTCAATTGAGTGTATTTAACTACTAAACATTCTAACATATTTATTTTCAATTTTAATTTGGTTCACAAGGACTTAGAAATCTTAATGGACTCTCAGCATTTTGGTCTTAGAAACTGGGAGGTGAACAAAAGCAAGGTAAATTACTCTTTGAGATTACTTTGTTGCCTAGATATATCCCATCTGACGATGTGCACAGAATCTGTGAGTTAAAAAAGATTTTAATATCTAATCTAAACCTTCTTTTAAAATATATGTATGTATATACACTGACATCTAGATATAGTGAAACTCTTGTCAGAATCTAAATTTACTCCTATAATTTAGTGTTCTATCTCTTGCTCTAGTTCATCGAAGATCAGCTCCAAATTTCAGAAAGAGTAATTGAGTAAGCACTTGCCCCGAGGAACAGGGGATCTGAAGTTGAATGCTGGGTAAGGGAGAGTAAAACCTTTTTCTCACCCCGTGATTGCAGGGTATGGTGTTTGCTCCCAGAGGAATCCGCTTCCTTCGATCCTCATGCCAGCCTTCAACCAGAGCATTTTCAGCCCTCCTGTGTTCTTCCTTACTGGCATTCCTGGCCTAGAAATCTCTCATGGCTGGGTCTCCATTCCATTTTGCTGTCTCTATGCGGTTGCCCTCTCTGGAAATGGCATGATCCTATTTGCCATCATTACCGAGTCAAGCCTTCATCAACCCATGTACTATTTCCTGTCCATGCTGTCTTTCACCGATCTCGGCTTGTGTCTTTCTACATTGGTGACCATGCTGGGTATTTTCTGGTCCAATGCTAGAGAAATCAGTTTTGATGCCTGCATCAGCCAAATGTTCTTTATCCATGGCTTCACGTTCATGGAGTCGTCCGTGCTCCTGGCAATGGCTTTTGACCGCTTCGTTGCCATTTGTAATCCACTGAGGTATGCCACAGTCTTAACCAATTCACGCATTATCAAAGCAGGCGTTGCCATTGTTGTTAGAGGAACAGCGGCTCTGGTGCCTTTACTTCTGCTGCTTAAGCGTCTGTCTTTCTGCCGCAGCCATGTGCTCCACCATTCCTACTGCTTCCACCCTGATGTGATGAAGCTTTCATGCACTGAAACCAAGATCAACAGCGCCTTTGGCTTGGCCATTGTCATCTGTACTGCTGGCATAGACTCTGTCTTGATCCTCCTCTCCTATGTTTTGATCATCCGCTCTGTGCTCAGCATTGCCTCTCCAGAGGAGCAGAAAAAAGCCTTCGGTACCTGCATCTCACATATAAGTGCCGTCGCCATTTTCTATATTCCTATGATCAGCTTGTCACTGGTGCATAGATTTGGGAAGCATGCACCTCCTTATGTGCACACGCTCATTGCCAATGTCTATCTGCTCATCCCGCCTGTGATGAACCCCATCATCTACAGTGTGAAGACGAAGCAGATACGCAAGGCTGTGCTCAAAATATTCCTTTATAAGAGATTTTAGGAAAGATTCAGAGTTCATCTTTTTCTCTAAACTCTTCCCTGACTCGTACTTAATTGTTCACTGGTTTGATTTACCAACCACGTCATAGGTTGGGTCTAAACTATCTAGCCACCTGTAATGTATAAAGCTTCAAAAGGTAAATCTTTTATGTAGATTAGTAGGAAAAGGCTGGATTTCAGAGATTCTTATTATTTATTATTCCTCATAATGAATGTATGAATAAAAAACATGATTAAGAAGAAATGTGAAGAAAGGAATACCTCATAATTCATAAAAGAATAATTCATGGTACTTGGAAATTGTATAATCCTAGTGACTCATCTACTAGGGATGTGTCCAAAGTGAGAAAAATGGGCAAGAATGGACCAATGTGTAGTGATGTTCATTAGCAATATATTTTGAAATGAAAATTTAGAAACAGCTTAAAATATTACTTTAGGGAATTGGTTAAATAAACTATTACTCATTATGCAACGATCTAAACATTTCTATAGAGCTAAATGATATTGTTAGTTGAAAAGATAGGTTAACAGGTAGGGTACTTTCATAAAATCTGTGTTTATAATTCCTTTGAATATGCACAGACACAAACACACATGCACACACATTAATAAACAGGGTAATTTTCACAGAATTGTGTATATATTTAATGTGAACGCATACACATATACACACATAGATACTTTAAAACACTTAGTTAAGACATGTTTTGAAATGTTAAAAGTTTCTATTGGTCATAATATATATTAATGTGTTTATATTTTCGTTGTATATTCTTGATTTTTACAAACTCTAATAATGAGATTTTTTAACTTTTAAAATCATGAACAATAAATTTCCATTTAAAGTTCACCCCAGCGTACTTCTTATTTGCTGTTGTTCTTCATCAGCTGTCAGTCTTCAGAGTCTGTGTAGCCTCTAGGTCCCTTTCCTCCTCCTCAGTGTGGTGTGTGTGGCCCGGGACCAATGCTTCAGGACACTTGCGGTTCTTGTCTACAAATTGATAGATGCTTCAACTTCACTCCCCAAATGTCTGAACCGTAAGCTCTTGAGACAGAGCTCAATAACTGGAATTTTAGCACGCAGCATGTGTGCGTCACGTCATGTTCTCTGAGGTCCAGCTAATATCCATTTTGGAAAATGCCGTGACTAGCTTTCTTGTACATATTTGATTGGTTTTTGATTCTCTCAGCCCAAAATATGAAACACTCCTTTCCCAGTGTTTTTATTTTTTAGCTCTTTATTGGGAATTGAGGAAAGGTTATAGAGCAGATCATCACTTTTACATTTAAAATGTATATACATTACTTCATCTCGTTCATTAGACCACTACAAATGCAACACCACTCATCCCCCCTTCCCTGTGTTTCCCACCTCCAGTCCTTTGACTCCTGTAACACTTCTTGTTGCTTTAAAAAATCTTTCCAGCCTCCATTGCTAAGTAATCTTTCCTGTGACTATTTTCTTGATCTCTCCCATTAAATGTTCACCCATTTTTTTAGAATCCTTACTGAATTATATTAGTGTTTTTTTTATTAACAGGTAGTCAGGTAGCCTCTTTCCCCACTGACATAAAATTTCTTGAAACATTGTGCTTTGAATATTGTTATATTTCCCTCAGACACATGCATAGTGACTTATTAGTAATAGCTACATAATATGTGCATATTAAATTGCATTTATTGGATCCTTACTTTGCATTTATTCCACTTATGTATCTTGAGCATCTTTGTTTTACCAAACACTAGGTACACGAGGGTTAAAACAGTGGGAAGTAAAAACGGTCTCCACTCTTAGGGTGTTTATAATCTGATTATGCATATCTAAGATGATATGACATCTTAATCACTACCTTTTCCTTATAAAACACTCATTGTAAATGAAACATTATATAGATGCTAACAGGAGGGTCTGAATTAGTAGGAACATAATCTATGCAGGAACTATTCAGCTTGAAAAATATTTTCATAATTCCGAGAAGTTCCATGATTAGGGAAAGAGACATCATAAACCTGGAAATCAAAGCAAGCGAAGCGTAAGTGTGAGTGGCCTTAGTGTCGTGGGTGCTCAGGGGCAGTTTCAAAAAAGGAGGATTCTGAAAGTGGAGTAAACATCTTTTTGAATGCTTTTAAAAATAAATATATTGGAGAATGTTATATTTTTCATAAATCATTTTATTGGGGGCTCTTACAACTCTTTATAACCATCCACATATCAATTGCATCAAGCACATTTGTACGTATGTTGCCTTCATCATTTTCAAAACATTTTCTTTCTCCTTGAGCCCTTGGTATCAGCTCTTCTTTTTCCCCTCCCTCCTCCACCCTCCCACCTTCATGAGCCCTTGGTAAAATATAAATTATTATTATTTTCATATCTTGTCTCCCTTTACCCATGTTTCTGTTGTTCATCCCCTTGGGGGTGGGGTGGAGGGGTTATATGTTGATCTTTGTGATCAGTTCCCCCTTTTGGAGAATGTTCTCATGAAAGCAATAACTTTGAGTTATTCTGCTTAAGAACGGTTTTTAAATAGATCTGTTTTTATAAATGATATGCTGTGCCTTATCATACAGATTTTATAGTCTTACCATTTGGATTCTATCAGAAAAAATATTGAAGGATGCAGGGAGCATCAAAAGAAGATGGGAAGAATACACACAGAGTCACTGTATGAAAAAGAATGAATCAACATTTCATCATTTTAGTAGGTAACTTATGAGCAAGAACCAGTGGTTCCGAAGGAAGAAGTACAAGCTGCACTGAAATCATTAGCCCAAGACAAGACTCTGGAATTAGTGAAATATCAAGTGGAATATTTCAACAAGGTGATGAAAATTTCAAGCACTTACTTGACTATTCCAGGAAAATTGGAACACAGCTATTTGATCAATTGATTGGAAGAAGTCAATATTTGTACCCATTCCAAAATATTTACCTAACAGAATACTCAACTTATAGAATAATAACACTGATATCACATGCAAGTAGCATTTTGCCAGAGATCATCCAACCCAGGTTGCAGCAGTAGATTGACAGGGAGCTGCCATAGAGGTTCAGGATGAATTCCGAAGAGGACGTGGACTAAAGCATATCGTGCTGATAGACGATGGATCTTGACTGAAAGCAAAGAATAGGAAGAAGATATTTACTTTTATTTTGTCGATCATGCTAATGCATTTGACTATGTGAATCATAACAAGCCATGAAAAAATGGGAATTCTAGAACACTTCATTGTGCTCATGTGGAACTTGTACATGGACCAAGAGGCAGTTGTGTGAAGAAAAGGGGAATATTGCATTGTTTAAAATCGGGAAAGGTGTGTGTCATATTGTATCCTCTCACCTTATTATTCAATCTGCATGCTGAACCAGTCATCAGAGAAGCGGGTTTAAATGAAGAAGAATGTGGTATCAGGATTGGAGGAAGGCGTATTAACAGCCTGCAATATACAAATGATACAATCTTGCTTGCTGAAGTGAAGAGGACTTGAAACACTTCCTGGTGAAGACCAATAATTGCAGCCTTGAGTATGGATTACAACTCAGTGTGAAGGAGACCAAAATCCTCACAATTGGCCCAGTAGGTAGCATCATGATAAATGGGAAAAATATTAAAAGTTGTCAAGGATTTTGTCTCGCTTGGATCCACAATCAATGCTCATGGAAACAGCAGTCAAAAGATCAAACGATGTATTATATCTGCTGAACAAGACCTCTTTAGGGTGTTGAAAAGCAAGGATATTCATTTGAGGACTAAGCCATGGTATTTTCAATTGCCTCATATGAATGTGAAAATTGGTCACTGAATGAGGAAGACTGGCAAGGAAACAAAGCCTTTAAATGGTGGTGCTGGTGAAGAATAATAAAAATACCATGGACTACCAAAAGGACAAACGAGTCTGTTCTGAAGAAGTGTGGCCAGAGCGCTCCCTCTAGGCAAGCAAGACAAGGCTGAATCTTACACACTTTGGAAATGTCAGGAGTGATCCGTCACTTTAGGACTTTCCTCCCACTGTGTGCCTGGTTTGAAGCCCTCTGAGCACTTAACCATTGCACCACTAGGGAGGGATCCTTTCAAAAGCCCTGGCATGCCTAAAAGATCTTTCTGGATATGGATCCTGACTCTCTTTTGGACTTCTCTTTTAAACCATTTACTTTCCCGGAGTAACCACGGTTATACCTTCTCAATGCCTCCCAGTCAATTCTGACTCATAGGAGAAGGTAGACTGTATGTTTTGCTTCCCAAGACTATGCATTTTCACAGATGTAGAAGGTTTTATCTTTCTCCAGCATGGTTTCAAACGATGTCTTTGCTGTTAGCAGGCCAAAGCTGATCCCACTACAGAACCTGGGCTTCTAACTTTTCTCTGTGTTCCCTGGTGCTAGTCTTCTTGCAGGTTAATAAGTGCTTTCCTATGTGCTTAACATAAGTTATGTATGACCTGTTGTAATCACCAAGCTTGTGCCTGTTTCCTCTTAAGTAGGTTATGAGCACTGAAAAGAACAGACTCTGTACTATTCATGGACTGACTGATGCAAACCATTAAATGTGAAAGATTTTAAAGTTTTTTATAAAAGAATAAGTGATTTTCTTCTGACAGAGCAGAGATATTAATTTTTAAAATGGACAAAATTCACCCAAGTGATGTTGAAAAGAAGACATTCTTTTCACCCCTGCTGTTTATGGAAGTAGCATTGGGCATGAGGCTTCAGATTATGGATATAACAGGTGTTTTGTTTGGGAATGTTCACTCAGGTTTTTACTTCTAGCAATATTTTGTCCCTGGATATAAACTGAAATAGAAGGGATAGAGGCGTGAGGTAGAGTAAGTCCCTGGGAAGGTTTGTACTCTGAGGGTCACAGAAATCTCCGTCAGAGTTTTCCTAACGAGTGGCTCTACGTAGCCCGAGTCAAGACTCTTTACATATACTCCTGATCCTGTTCTCAGTTCTTTTTTTCTGGCGAACAGGACAGGAAGCTAGACACTTTCATACTTTGCCAGTAAAAGTGCGGTCCTCAAGGGAAACGCCAGGTTTTATATACACTTGTTTT